TTGTTGCATCAGGGCAAGAAAAGTTCTTTTTCTTTCATAGGTTAAATTGAAAACTGTCTTATCTTAGGAATAATAATTCAGAAATATAACATAGACAAGATTCTTAAGAGACATTACAAAACAGGTATAGTTTTGTTCAAGAATGAAATATTTAATATCAATTTAGAATTGAAATTGTGCTATGAATTACTTGTCATTGGCAATGTGAAAATGTAAGTATCAGAAGTATTTGAAAATAACATTAAATAGTTTTCTTAAATGAAAAACCATTTCTAATCTTTCTAATCTAAACAAGGGTGGGGAGTATTTTGTATACTCTCAAGGACCTCTTGGCATGTCCTGTTCTTGGGTACTCCTCTTAATTTCCTTTCTGAGGCCTTTTGCCTTGTTCTGCTTTGTCTTTATCTCATGTTTTTGAATTATGTCTTTAGCAAAAGAGAATGATCGAACCCTTAAATATAAGCCTAAAATGCTATGGAGAACATCCTTTACAACCTTCTTATCTACTTTCAGTTGAGAGTTGTATAATAATGAGTTACAACTAGATAGGATTTCCTCATCATGAAAACATTTATCCACTATTTCAGCTATGTTGATGCTTTGTAATCCAGTATTCGAAGTATTAACTCTAAAATAATGCTCTGTTCTCAAGAAAATTTTCTGAGCATCACCTGAAATAGTCCATAAACCTCCACGATCCAAAGATGCTGTCAAAGTTAGAGAGATTTTTTCAGTTTGGTTGACTGCTTTTCCTGCTTTTAAAAAGGACATGGCTTGCTGGCTCTCAGAAAGTTCACTTTTCTTTGATTTTGCTATTTTGTTGTGCAGATTATGTAAAACATAGCCTCCTAGATATTGCAGACCAGCCAATTCTTTCTCAGGTAAAGATAACTTAACCTGATTTCCCTTTACAGTAGACAATAACTTTTCTCTACTGAATGACACCATTCTATCAGCAAGCTTAGTGCACAGCAATGTTGCTGCATTTCTTGACAGCCCTGGAAAATACTTGACAGCATGTAAGGGAATTTGTGAGTAGTACTTGCTGTAAAACTTTTCATGATTCCCATTTTTCAGCAATCCATCGTAGGCTTCTTTTAAAACTCCAAGTTCTTTCGAATCTTCTCTAGGCCTTACGAAAGTATATGCCTTTAACTCTTCTCTAATATTTTCTTGATAGACCATGGTATTAGAGAGTTTTAACTTCACTTGTTCAACCATAACTACCAGGTCATCTGTTGTTAGCGATTTGTCTGCAGCTCTGATTGTTTCTCCGACGGAAGTTTCCACTGAGTTTTGGACAACTGGTTCCTCGATTAATTCCTTGTGTTTCATTGTCTTATGTCTTTTTAGACCACGCTTGCTTTTGCACTTTTTAGCACAAAGTTCGCAAACAACTTCGATCTTTTCTACCTGAACAAAAACAACAACATCAAGGTTAGAGTCAAGTCAGTGCGTTCACCCAAGTTCTGAAATATTGTGGTCATTCTATGAAACTTGCCACTATCTAACAATTAAATAATGAAATTTACTATTAAAAAAGGCAGTGAATCTAGAAGGGAGAATAAATACCTCATCTGCTACATGATATACTAAAGATATTCGATCACACTCGAAAGCAGCTAGACCCGAAGTTTAAGCGTCTTGAATTGACTCAAACAAGTTCATAGGAACGATAGAATACATGTTCTATACTCACATCATCTACAGCTTCCATAAATTCCTGTTCTATGTCTTCGTCGGCCTCTAAAGCATCAAGGATTGCTTCTAAATCTCCTCCAAATACAAAATTGTTATGGTCGTCCGCCATTTTGTTTGAAATGTGTGCACGGTCAGGGTCACGTGATGGTATGGTTCAACATCAAAACCCAAACAATAGGCCTATCCTTTGAAGTTTTCCGGGTTTCCTAACCAGTCCCCTCTACTAACTATGTTGTGATGTTCAACTGTTTGATTTTAACTAATTATAAGTACACAGCTGTACGTTGCTTTCTCTACTATAAGCTGTCTTCTATAAAACAATACCAATGTCTATCAATATTGATCTTATGTGATCTCTGCATGCAGCTACTGACATCTACATCGTCAGATTTCGTGAAGGGGTCCAAAATCATTGCCGATTCTGGTTCTTTGAATAGCGATGCTTCTAGGGATCAAGAAGTATCTTCCGAGTTAATGGGAAATTCCACCGCTGAGATTGCCGTTTCTCATTTCGAAGCAGATGAGCTTGCAGCTTCGTTTCCCGCCAAGGAAACAATAGATTACCAGGTAAAAACAAGAGAGATTTTGCATGCGAACACACGCGATCGTGCCAGTACATATAAACAACACATGGCCAAATCAAGGAATTCCAACGTATTAGAGTCAAATTATATCATTAAATGCTCCAGTTCGTCATTTTAGGAAGAGACTCACTTATACCTCCACCAGAGTTGCAACGCGTGCAAGTTTGTGGGAGACGAAAACCGAAGTCGGAAGAAAACAATCAACATGCTGACAACCAAAATAAATAGACTTAAAGATCGCCTACAGGAAAAGGAAATCAAATTCCTCAATTATATTGGTTCTTTCATCAGGAAAAGTACTGTTCACATCACTTTCAAGGGAAGCTATCGAAGGAATGGAGCAATAGCTAGATGATCGATCACTTTTGCTTGAAGACAGTGATTTTGCCCTACAAGCTCTCTTGCCTTTGAGTTGTCTTGATTGGATGACGTCACTACGCTTTGACGTGTTACCGACCTCCTGCCACTCATTTATTCAACAGCAATATGGCGGAAGGGCGATTTTGCAATGCAAAAGTTTCATTTTCTCGGCAGTCCTTGGCTAGATTTTTGTAATATTTAATACATAATTATGTTATTCAAAGTGCATAAATTCGAGATGTTGTAAAAAGGTTTTACAGAATGATACGTTTTTCGTCACAGTCCTGCTTTAAACTCAAGAGTTCAAAGATTTTCTTCGATAGAAAAACTTCAAGGTTGCTATCAATAAATTCTTTAATAGATGTCTCAAAGCCACATGTAATGCAAACAGAAAAACAAAACAAAATCTGTCAATTAGCAGAAAGTATGATTTGCATACTGCACTTTTGAAATTTTCCTCATCAAGCATTAATCATATTTTTGCCATGAGCAACAATGCCAATGCCAATTCTCATTCCTTCCACAATCAAGAGAAAGCTAATTTTATTGCAGAGAAAACAAACTGAACATCACACCTTCAACTATCACTAGTTGGAAAAATGGAGACAGATGTACAATACAATTACCTCTAAGAGCATAAGCAATGCATTTGCTGCTCACAGCTATTAAACATCCTCTGTAGTACTTCAGCTCCCAGTCATAATTAACCATGGAATTAAATTTTATCTATGAAAAATTAAATTTGTCATTAAACCTTTTTTTACAAGCTAATATTAGTGTCTACATTCTCTATACTGTTTTCTAGCCACTTCCTATGGTACTGACAAAGAGAAAATTCGTTTAACAGTCAAGAGCTCCTTTAATTGACAAAAATTAACAATCATTCACCAAAATGGAGGTAAATAATAGTAAATATCCATCACTTTCACTGACACTGAGGGGAACAATAGTTTTAGTATACACCACACAGATACCAAAAAGTTATTTCAATTTCCTTAATATATTAACAAATGCCTGGAAATTAAACTTTTGATGCATGACTTTTTGTCTGTTTGGCTGCTCAAAGGTGAATAGCACTTGCTATTCACCTCCAAACTAGCCAATCATCGCATGCCAAAGGTACCATTCACTTGTGTGCCAGCAGTATACTAATTGATTTTATCCTCAGGTCCTTAATGTTTGACTTAGCAGTAATTCTGTCAAGAGAAATTGGCTGCTAATCAATCAGAGAGGTTGAAGGGTTAAAATCACGTACAGTCATAGTACTGAACTGAAACTGAAACTCCTCACTCATTTTAACACACTGATAATCCAACCAACCCACTGTTGTCTAGAGTTCCAAGGTTGTGGTCTATGAGGAAACGATCTAATTCTTAAAATAACAGACAAAATCTACCCTTACTTGGAAGTTAAAGGGGTAAGTGGTCTCACCTTATTACTAGCTGTGGCACTTGTTGAAACAGCTGCTTCACCAGTTACAATTTCAACTTCATTTCCATATACTGATTTACTGCTTCCATCATCACTACCTTTCATCTCACTGAAAGGGACAATTGGAAATCAGTAATCGTAAAAAAAAAATTGTAACAATTCACAATGAATGACACATACCTTCCACAGAACAAAAACTGAAGTGTAATTCATAATCCTGAAGCAGGTGAAATCTCTTTACAATGTTTCGAAAACAACTGGATATTTACCAGCTCACTTATCAGAAGCAAAACTGCTTTCTTGTGTAAATGGAATCAAAGGTTTGAGTGACATTTCTCCTTATAAATTCTTGAAAGTTGGTTTTGGCACCTGGGTGTGATTTTGGTATCTGATGTGTAAAGTTTTCTTTAGGGTTACCATCTAGGCTGTAAATTAAACTGAACTCACACTATTAACTTCATTATTAACTTCAGTCAAGTGAGTTTGTTGTTCTGTTCTCCCTTAAATGAAAGTATGATCAGCTACCAAAACTACAATGGCTGTTTTTAGAACATAACCCTTGATTGGTCATATTTAATTCCAACAAACTGCAATTGCATGTTATGGTACTGTCTACAGCATTATAACAAACAATTCACTCAATTCACATTCAGGACAAATAACTCCACTTGGGGAAGTAAATTCTGATTGGTTAGTCTCACATTCAAAGAGGCCTCAGCTTTGTGACAGACTTCCAAATGTGCAACCAGAGGTTATTTGCATCAGCTAGCAAAAATGAATGTTTTGGTTCAAATGTGATGAAAACAAGGGTAGGATATGTTGTAAAGCAAATCAGTCACTTACATGACTTGTTTGACAGGTTCAAGGGACATTCTTGAAGCTACACCTTCACTATCTGAGACAGACACATCAGACATCTGATCCTTTGAGTTTCCCTAAAATAATGCCACACATTGAAATATAAAATGTAGCATGGGTACTATAGTGTATTGCATTAGTCTTAAATAAGATCATATACATGTAGCATTACCACTGTAAGTAACTTCCAATCATGCTATAAATCTACTATCCTCAGTAAACATAAAATAACTGATTAGGAGTATCGTATGGTAAATATATCATCTTGATTCGTGAATAAAGTATAGTTGAATTAGAGGAATGCGAGTGATCACTTGACCTCTGAATACTCTACAGTCAGGTACATTATATTTAACCCATTACACCCTGACATCAGTATCCATACTCTCTACACTGTTCTCTATACATCTCCTAAGGTGCCAAGGTGATCAATTCCTAAATTCTCATGACTTTTGTTGAACATAATTCTAGACTATTTCCTATGTTAGTCATGTCTCAAATGGCTCCTACAACAATTGAAAGTCACTCTGGGTGAGAATGAACTTAGTTTGAGTAACTCATCAAGACAAATACGATTTTGTCCATTAACTAACCCTTCTTTGAGGAGAAAGAGAACTTGCTGTGGATGCTGATTCACTGCAACATCAAACAAATAACACAGCACATGAAGATTACCACAGAGCACATAAAACATTCCTTTTGAATACTTAAGATCAATGTCATAAGCATAACACATATAAAGAATCATTACTGGCTATTTATACCTTGTACAAGCATGCTCTGGTAAACATGCGCAAAGGAATTGGTGTGGGATTTCAATTTTCAATAGGTGTCTCATGTACAAGTCATAGTGCAGACTTCTCTCATTTCCTTCTATCTTAAATGACTTGACAACCTGGTTCCATAGTTACTGGATCAAAGATGTGTCAAGTGTCCCCCTTACAGTGACTACACGTTTTGAAGAGGTTACCTGTAACTCTGTTCTTAAGCAAAGGGACAACACCTACCAAGGCTTTTTTTTAACACATAAGAAAAGGAACTGTAAGAATTAAATTTCTTGCCTAAGGACATGACAAAATAACCTAGCATGAGCTCTAATAAATACACCTAAATCTGAATGTGCCCCCCTTTGAGAGACTCGGTTCATGTAAAAGATAATATGTTTCTGACAAGCATTAACGCTTGCACATCCCACATATCACAGCCAGTTCACTAACTTTTTAACTCCCAGAAGCGATTAACATGTCTCTCTTTATAATATCCATACATCATCCAGCAAATAAGTAATGAGAAAATTCATGATAGAAGTTATCTTAATGTTACACCAAATTCCTGTAACTAATTTACAAGGAAATATAAAGCTGCTAGAAGGGAAAATTAATAATAAGATCTTGGGAGTAAAAGGGTTTTAATCTTTAGTACACGTTAGAAAAAAGCAAAGGAGTTAGATTAAGACTCATGAATAGATACTTACCTCAGAGAATCATCGAGGTCTCTCTCTCCATTTCTTTGAGTCTGTAAACTATTCCCTGATGCATACATAATGACAAAGTGCACATATATCATATCTGCAGGGTTCTTGCTGTGTTTTTTCATAGGAGGTAAAAAATAAGAAATGGCAGGTAACTTTGTTACCTTCCCCCAGGCCAGGCTGTGTGGATGCCATGTTATCAGCCATGATGTTTCTCAATGAATGCTGGGCCTTTTCATTTGGCCGCAAGAAGAATAAAAAGGAAATATGGCCAAGGTCATTTCGTGAGGTGACTGTGAGGGATGAATTTGGTCAAAAAAGCAGAATTCTTCAAATCAAATCAGTAACATGTGATAGATATCTTCACAACATTGGTTGGAAGGAGACAAGTAATATTTTTCCAGAATTGAAAATATTGTTGGATAACTTCAGTAAATAATTCAGTCCTTTCTTCAATTCTTCAATTCAGATTTTTGTGAAATAGTAAAAATAACCAGTTACCCACTCTTAACAAGAAACCTGATTTGTCAGATGAAATTACTGAAACAGTATAAATCCCTTATTACAATGGAAGTAGTTTTGTAATTCTTATAGATTACAGCATAACTTTCATATAATTTCCAAAAATATCTGAAGGTCAAGTTCACCGATAATTCAACAGAGGCATGCGGTAAACAAATAACGCGTATATGTCATGTCGTAGTAGCAGACTCACAAACATGTTAGCTAAAAACAGGAGAAAGATATTCATTACTCTTGCTTATCATTACAACACACATGACAGTGAGAAAGAAAGTTGCAAATATTAATCAATAAATCATTGCCACGACTAAAGCAACCATTAACACGCATTTCAATCAAACATAAAATGACAGTCACTACTTTCGTTTTCATTTTGACAGGAGATGAAAAATTGTAATATTTAGTAGAAGATTACAATTACGATAAACTTTGGCTACTTTCTCCATCTAACAGTTTTAATGCTTTCCTTTAACGCGAACCCATACAGTCGCTCAAAGCGCAATATATAACTAAATTCTTGAATTCGTATGCACCAAAGGTAAAAACTTTGTCATAACCCGAAAATACAAGTAAACTTCAACTTGCACCTACCATTACTCGTTTCAGTACCTCCAATGTTCAGCAAGTCACAGAGTATTTTTGAAGCCATCCCTTTAGCATTATCGTCCATTTTCGAAACTTTTGATGGGTTGCTTTTTTTCAGTAGGAAAAATTAAAAGTCGTAAAAAAGAATCTAACCTTTCACATAGAGGAAGTGCTGCTCTTCATTACAACATGGCGACAAAATGCGCATGCATAAATTATTGAAATCATTACTTCGGCGTGAGGAATTGCGGGCGCATAAAGGAATGACTTAAAAAATACAAATATTTCAAAGAATTAAAGCCAAATACCATATACCTCAAACGATTGTTTTTTTTTTTTACATGAAAAAAAAGCAGCATCAAAATTGAATTAGATTTGATATGAAAAACAACTCTTGGGATGACAGCAGGGCATAAGAACCCCATAAATTATCTGCTCATGAGTAGATCACGAAAAACCTGTTTTTGTAACGAAAAAGTATTACTTGTTTATTTCCTGCAACCATTTTAAGACCTTTTAAAACTGTTCTGGGGCACTTTAACAAATTATGGTGTTTCAAAAATCCTTTCAGAAAATTTATTTGTTCACTGACCCTATCCCAGAAAGTGACCTGTTTCACACGCCCTACCCTAGATGGTTGATTATTGATCCACGCGCGAAAAGTGAAAGCAAAATGGCGGACAAAAAGACAAGGGAGGTTGTTATTTCCACGTCTTCGTCTGCAAAGCTGTTACGATGGCGAGTTTGTCCTGGCTCAGAAGTTAGAGAAGGGAGTGTTCTTTGTTTCTATGAAATTGTTGGTGGCGTGGATCAAACTGGATCTTTTATAACTCAGCCGAAACTCAAATCAGCTTTTACTGGTAAAGTCCGTAAATTGCTGGTCGCTGAGGGAGAAATCGTAGCAGCCAGGTGAGAACTGTGTATCAAATACGAAAACGGTAGGGCCCTAAAATACGAGTTCAAATATTTTTTTGACAATCAGAGAAGTAAATATGTTTGGAAAAGGTAAGAGTCGTGCACGGACAACTGAGATCGCTGTGCAGTTTGTTTTTTGTCATAAATGTTCGAACGGTGAAGTGTTTACATAGTTCATCTAGTTTGCAAACGAGAACTTCAAGACTGTACTACACAGGGAAAAGTTGAAATCGTTTAAACCTTTCTTTTTACTGAAGATTTTCCGGCGACTCACTGAGATTTCAGTTTGTCTATTTCTCACATCGTGGCTCGCTGCACGTTTGGAAGTTGTGAGGATGAGAGGGAGATTTTGTTTGTGCAACGGCTTTGTGTGGTCGGAAATAAGAGTAGAAATTTAACAAGTTTAAATTTTAAATGAGTGATTAGGTACAACAATTTCTTTTAAGCTCTTTAGATGTTAAAAATAGCAAGATAGGTTATAATCCGTCGTGTCCTGTGGCAGGTCTGCCTTTCTTGCTACTTGTTCCCTTAGTTTACTAGCTAGGGTGAGATTTTATTTCGCTTTTAGTCCGCAATTTTTTCCACGGGATTTGATTGGCCATTGATCCACCAATCCACGTATCGCAATTATTTTAAATTCTGTTTTTTTAACTTTTTTTTTATCATTGATTAATTAAGGATTACTGTTTGTGGTACTTAGATTGATGTTAGCTACCTTTTGGTAGAGTAAATTTTCTTTGCATTGGTCCGAAGTGGAATTCAACATCCAAGCTATCAAACCAGTGTGTTCTAAAATTTTGAGTGTATTTACACTTTATCTTGCAAATTTAAAATACTTTAGAAACTATTTTAATTTATCTACTTGTAACAATAGAAAGAGCAAAGTATTAAAAGTTAGCCAAAATGTGTTAATTTTTTCAGTTTGATTTTAGCAAGTTGAAAGAATTCCTATCCCTGTGCAAATTATTACAACTTGATGTTATGTTGTCCTCCAAATTTTCCATAAAAAAGAAATTAAGCTAGCAGAAAACAAAAGCAAGTTCAAGAGTTTCACCTAGTCATCTTTATTGCTTTACATGGAAGGAAATTGAACTTGTTTTGTAGAGTCCAGTGGAAGTGACATTAAAAAGCTGATCTCAAATGCTGCTGCAGAAAGTACAAAGGGGTGATCAAAATTTGCTATCAACCTGCAATATAAAAATTAAGGGAAGTGTTATGAGATAAATAAACCTCTTCCTGCCTCACTGTTTTATGGGCTGATAGTTTCTTGGCTGAGAATTGTCCTCAGAATTGCGCATTTGGCCTTGAAGCTTTGCTTCTCAGCCAAATATTTATTTTTTGACAATCTCTAAGCTGTGGACATCAGCTGACATACATGTACCAACTACTTGAAGGGGTTTATTTTGTAAATACTTCCCAATTTTAGTTGGGCCTCTTTCGGTAATCTATTGTGCCTTAACCAGTTGTGCAGCAAAAATATTTGATGGGTTGTGATTATTATTACAGGTTGGTCATAAATTCATAAAGTATAGGAACAGCAATTCCTTCCTCGTTAGTTGACAACATTTAATTGTATTCTTAGAGCACCAGTCTTGTTGATAGATGAAGCAACAGAGTGTGAACATGGGATGGTCATGAAGGATTTATGTTGTGACTGTGGTGCTGATCTCAGAAAGTACGTATCTGTTGTTCCAACCTCAGCAATCATTGCCAAAATGGCTGCAAGCAAATGCTTAGGCATGTTGTTATTATAGTTGGTAGCCCTGTTAAAAACTAAATTAACTCAAGCTTGTCATCAGAATTGGAAACTTGTGAATATTGGGAGTATTTCTGGAATGTTAAGTTTGTTAACCTTTTCGACATGTAAGCAGCCAGACTTTATGTACGGTAATGTTCATCAGTTTGTTCTTCTGTTCACTGTCTTTTTCTTTGATATTGTTGGTCATACCATGAGGAAAATTCCTGATATCACTCTAATCAGGTTAGTAATAGTAATAACACAGTTAAAAACAATTCATCTTTTTAGACTTAATGAGGAGAAAGATGAGCCTTCTTCCCCAACTTTGGCATCTGTGCCAATCATACACAACATCCCTGAACTAAAAGTGAGCCAAGAGGTACGAGGCTGTTATTTATTATGGTTGGAGAATATCAATGTTAATGTTGTTGTGAATAAGATTATAGTATTGCTTGGTGTGTCACACCGTGAAATTTTTTGGTTCCCCCATTTTGTTCTGAAGGAGAAAGAGATTTACTGGAGGAAAAGGTGACTTGTAGCCCCTGCTAAAAGAGTGCCTTCAACCCTCCTTGGATAATTTAGCAGATTGTTAAATTAAACTGGGAAATTTTCATCTTTACTCAGTCTAATAATCAACAATTAATTTTCTTTGTAAAGAGGGTACAATTTCCTTTCAGAAAGCAGAAGCTTTGGGCAAAAAGGACAAGGAGCGACTCCTTCAAACTCGCAAATTGTCCCTTGTAGTGGATCTGGACCAGACCCTCATTCACACAACTATAGAGCTGATACCTGAGGATATGGAGGTATAACTCTCTGTTCACAAATACTTATACATTTAAATTGATCTTCACAGAGACACTGTGGTTAAAGTTGTTGCAAGAAGAGTGGACTGGAAAAAAATCAGCCTCGAAAAAGGATTATGCCCTGTCTCATGTTGAGAGCACTCATGATTCTCCCCTGAAAAAGGGGTTAAAATTAAGGGAGACATCCAGATACATGTATATGGGGGCAGGGGGAGGGGGGGGTGTTGTTTATAAAAATAGAAACAGACAAACCAAATTTATTAGGTCAAATTGTTAGGTGTTAAAATGTGCACCCACCCAGGTTGAGATACCATCAGCTTCAACTGCTGCAAAGCTTCCTGACAGGGCTCAACACTAACTTTTGAACTTACTAGCCAATTGGCTAGTGACATCTTAGATTTTTATGTTTATTTAAATTACCAGCCAAACTGGCTAGTAGGCTACCATTAATGTAGAGCCCTGCCTGTGTGAATCTACTGCTAAATTAACAAGGTTTTTCTTTAATAGTAGGATTGAACTCATGTCTCCCAAGTACCAGATATAATTTGGTTTTAACTTACTAATTGATAATGTAAATTGACCATTGTTAAGAGTTTGTTACTTTGAAGAACTGTTTTTGATGGCCAATTTACATTATCAACTCAGTTGATAAAGCCAAATTATCCAGTAATACCTCTCACCCAGACAGCACCATTGACCACTTTCAAAAATGGCTGCCGGATTAAAAGGCTAATTTAAATTTAAACAAAAGAATATTAATCCGGCAGCCATTTATGAAAGTGGTCTATAGTTTCTTTAGAAACTCCTCCCTCCTTCTTTCTCTCAGACACCAGTTGGGCGCTACAAACTGAGCTATGAAGCCACATGTTTGGAGGATGAAAAAATTAGTCTCTTGTTGAATCACTGTCTTAGTCGTGTTTACACTGATTCAGTGATGGTCTCGAAATCTTGTCGTTCCCCTTTGATCATTCAGATGTAAAGCTGCATAAAATGCCATTTTATCAAACATGTTTCCCTATGATTCAAGCTAGTTTTACTTTGTTTCCTTTGTGCTTTCATTGGATTAACAACCGATTATAAATTGTTGACTGATATGTTTATAGGACGTCCATCACTTTCAACTGCCTGGTTATCCTGCATGGTACCACACCAAGATCAGGCCAGGAGCTGTGAACTTCCTGAATAGTGTATCCAGTCTCTTTGAGCTGCACATCTTCACCATGGGTTCTAGAATGTATGCACACACTATTGCTGGAATGTTGGACCCTGGTGGAAAACTGTTTGCTCACAGAATTCGCTCAAGGGACGAGTGCTTCAACCCGTTTTCCAAATCGCGTGACTTGAGGTTAGAAATCTTACGAGTCAATGTTTTATCTGCTAAGAGCTGGAATTTCTTTGTTTACCCTTCTGCAATCACTCAAAGGTGTAAAAGTACAGTTGTATAAACTCTATCGAAAAGTAAGGCGGTTTTGGTCAGAGGCCTGGCGAGGCATATCAGGTGTTTGAGAATTTTTAGTTGCGGCAAACTATGAAATACCCGTGGCTTGTGTGTTTTGTCCACTTGCCAAGACGCTCCTGAGACGAAAAGAAACATTGACTTATGGAAGAGCGGTGGGCAAACTGAGACAACCCGGCACACTCTCGATCTGTCGCCGAATCTTCACTAAAGCGTTCAACTTTTTTTCACGTACATTTCTCCTTTTTCTTTTGCCAAAGTTTAGCCTGTTCGTAGTATAGTACTTTGCTCTCTGGGCTCTTTCCGCTTCTGTTGGCTGTGGTAAATTTTAGGATCTTCCATAAGAGGCCACCGTCGGTGTAACAATAAAGGCGACTGTGCACGGAAAAGGAGCCGTAACGTGAAACCCGAACTCTTCTCGCAGGCTAAAAAGACGGCGGTAAAAGGTCTAATATTATGCGGTACACCACCGGCAACCGGCTTTGATTGAAAACTCTAGTCTGCCAGTAGGTCCACTGTTTTTGTTACTGCCACGGTACTTGCGTCGCATGAGATGAGGATTGGCTACCACTAGGTATTCTCGAGACATCCGTAAATGCTTGTACTCTAAAAACGATTTGAGAGGTTGAACCTCAGGAACATGGTCTTAAATGTATGTAGGTAGATTTAAGACTTCTTATGATAACACATGAAGTAACGAATCTTGCCTAGTAGAATTCAAAGCAAATTCTTATGTTTCATCATATTTCAGGGCACTATTTCCTAGCGGTGATAACATGGTTTGCTTAATAGATGATCGGGAAGATGTTTGGAATTTTGCCGCAAACTTGATTCGCGTTAAACCTTACCAGTTTTTTAAAGGAGTAGGGGATATTAATGCCCCACCTGGGGGATCTGTTCCAGTCACAGAAGATATCAATCCCCCCGGAAATCCTGGTGATCAAATTGAAACTACGGAGGGTGATGCGAAAGTCGAAGAGTCGAATTCTCGGGAGGACAACGAAGGTGATGTTACTGAGCAGAAGAAAAATGATGCAGTGTTTGACGACAATGGAGAGACTAAACAAAAAGTTGCCAATGTGGAGACAAAGGAAATTCACGAATTAGTTGAAGATGTGCAAATTTCCACGGATAGCAATGAGCCTGATGTCGAAGAGAAGGAACAGAGCAAAATTGAAAAGGCAAAGATCACTGAAAAAGCAGTTAAAGAAAGAGAGACATCATTGAGAGTAGTGGAAAACGGAGGAGGTGATAGTGCAAGCAATGAAACTGTAAAAGATGAGTCAACCGAAATCCAAACTTCGAGTGAAAATACGAGAAACGGAAAACACGACACCGATAGAAAGGCTCAAGATGATTCAGAGCAGCAACCATCTGATGAAAGTGTTAGCACGTCAAGTAAAACTTTATTGAAAAGTGAAGGAGGTGAGTGTTGGATTTTCGTAGCCTTCTTGTATTTTCTGGAATTCATAGACAAAATAAACCTAAACAATTCAAGCCTTTTGATTCGTCATGAAAGCGTCCTTTCGCGCGTTTTAACAGTTGTCTCTAAATTACGCTCGCTACAGTGTGATTTCCAAAGATATGGAGCTCTCCCACCTGCTCAACTTTGCACAAAGCATTATATGAGGCGTGACAAAGCAAACGTGTTACGAACTTCCCTGGGTAACCGAAAATATATCATCTCCTGGTAAGTTCAATTCTGGTGTGAATGTGAAGAACACAAATGAAAAAAATTCCGCACAGATCATCAGATGTCCCTGCTTGTCGCGGCACTTCATAACTGAAAATTACCCGGTTAATCTTTGAACTTCCAGAAGTGATTAAGACTTAACTTTTGCCTTTAATTTACATACATTAGCCAGCAAACAGGTAATGAGAATACTCAAACTTATCAGGTAGAAGATGTTATCTTGATCTAACGCTAAATTCTAGTAACTAATTTACAAGGAAATGTTTAGTAGCTAGAGGGGAGAATTCACAATCAGATCTTGGGATTTAAAGAGTTAAAACAGAGTTTTATTGTTATGGTAACAAGTGAAACGTTTTGGAATGTGAAAAATATGAACCATGGAGATTTCTTAACGAATACAAACGTGCAGTTTGGCTTGTGAATTTGAGCAATGTAAGTCAGAATGAGAAATGTTAAGCAACTCCTTGTGTATTAGATGGCAATTTTACCCAAAGTGAGATGACACAGCAGGAAGACATGACAGTACGAGATGCTTTCTCTACATAGAGCAAATGGAATAAAAATAGGCCATGTTGTGTTCAAATTTACCGCATATAATCAGAATTTTCAAGACACACCTTTCTCTGGTGGGATGAAAATTTTGTTGATGCTGATTTTTTTTTTTTTCTTTTCTTACTAGCGGATATGCGAGGATTAGCGTTAGCACGGCTCTTGGAGTCTGGGGAAAGCATGCATTTTATTAAAGATGGCGGACCAAATTTTAAATAGGGCTTTAGTGGGGGTTAACGGTTCAATTCTGTAACTTAGAATCACAGGATCATTGGCTTTTAGTACAGCCACTGTGTAATCCAATTTTATTTTGTACAGTATATCTAAGAGTTCACCATAGTGTCACTTTGATCTTATTTACATGCACAACGTTCCAGACCAAACAAAAATCAAGAAATCAAGGCAGCAAGTCTACGAGTTTGGTGATGGGGACGACGATTACCTCCTGCACCTGGAAGACATTTTACGTCGTATACATGATGCATATTACAAAACTGTAGAAAGCATTCAATCGCAGGCTCCGGAGGAGGTCAAAAACAATCCTAACATCGTAAAATATTGTACTCCAGGAACATTGACACCGGATACCAAGCTGATAGTGACCGAACTACGCCGAGATGTACTTCGTGGAGCTAATGTAGTCTTTACTGGAGTAATTCCTACATCGACGAAACAAGAAGACAGTCAACCGTGGCGCGTTGCATGCGCCCTGGGTGCTAGAGTTAATAATGTGATTATTACACCCAAAGATACAAACTGTGATAGTGACGTAACCACTCACGTGATCGCGGGTCGGTTAGGGACGGAGAAATCGTACCGAGCGGTAAAATCCCGCGGGGTAAAGCTAGTGAATCCAGGTTGGTTATTCTGCTGTTTTGAACGATGGGAGAAGGTGGATGAGCGTTTATTTCCAGTCGAAGGCTTGGAGAAATACAAGCAACAGGTTCGGGATCATAGCACACCTCGCGGGACTCCTGGGGAAACTACAGACTCGAGTGCGGTTGAAAAAGTGATTTTGGACTTGAATGTTTTTGATAAGGAAAATGTGGCCGCCAAATCAAGATCTGATTCGGCAAGTAGTGCAGATCTTCTTATGTCTACCTTGAACCCATTATTATCGTTTTCGCCTTCGGAGGTTGAAGCTATGGACAAAGAAGTGGAGGATCTTATGAACGACAGCGACGGGGAAAGCGATTTGATAGGAAGTGTGTCAGAATCGAGCAGTTCTCCTGATCCCGAAAAATCAGAATCAACGAGTAAGCGAAAGCGAGAGAACGAAAGAGACTCCCAGGAGGATGAGAATGAGTTGGCAAGCAAGAAAGTGAAACTTGATGATGATGATGACGACAAACAAGACGAAGGCGATGAAAAAATAGATTGTGATGAACTTTCGCGCAGCCCTGATTCTGACGATCATTACACTCGCCGCTCTACACCAAGTGACGATGAAGATGATGGTGATGATGATGATGATGATGATGATGATGATATGGCGGCTATGTTAGATGCGGAGCTGTCTCATTCGGAAGCCGCAGGTTTCGCCCATGAAGCATTTCGCCCAGACCTAAACGCGTTTCGCTCAAACCTAGACCCAGACCATAATTGAAAGAACTACGTGCCCAGATTAGGAATCTCTGATCCGACTAGAATTATTTCCGACAAGACACGTCGAGAGTCGAGATTCGTAAGAAATACTTAAGCTTATATACTTTGCCTCGATTATTGCCTCGAACCAAACCAGACCAAGCTTTTTATCCACTGAAGTAAACTCAAACATATTTGATTGTCTGAGTTGACAGCATCTCCAAGTGAGAAAAAAAATGCCTGTTGAAGTTGCAAGCACGAACCGAACCGAACCGGCTCAAATTCAAAATAGACGACCGAAACTCCATCCCAGGCTCTTGGCTGTTGCTTGGTAACGAACACGAACGATTTCTTCTCCTTGCAAGTGCAAAGCGCTAGCAAAGGCAAAATTTCTTGAAAACAAAAACATTATCAGACTGTAAGACAAGTAAGTTAAATGTTTGATTTGAAAAAAAATACATTCCCTTTTTTTGTGGATTTAATTAGCGATTCACGTTCACTTTATTTTGTTCTTTCTATAAATTGTTTGTGAAACCATTTTCGTTCTGGGCGAAACGATATGGGCGAAACTCGTTACTTCTATGAAGAGCATTTTTTGATTGATTGTCGAAAGTAATGCGGAGTTTCACTGGGTTTGCTTTGCTTCGCTCTGTGATTGGTCCAAATACGTCACGCCACTCGCTCAACCAATCAAATGCAAAACATTGCGCCCGCGTTTCCCGCGCTTCGGCCAGTTTCGTTGGTTTTACTTTGAGTTTTCATTGCCCCTAAGGGCAGTTTTCCTTTCTTTTGATTAGCTGTAGTGATCACCCTGATTTTGGTTTCCGACACTCAACGGAAAACCGCTCTTAAGGAATGCATTGTTGTTGTTTGTTTTTTTAGCCTCACCACGCTTTTTTTTTTTATTCTAGAGAACTCACACCACTTTCTCAGCCAATCTGATGTCGGCAAAACTAAAACAATAGCTCTTCCACACGATGACGTCATTTATTGAAAATTCGCCTCAAGCCTCGTTCACACAAAAACTTTTTGAGCGTCCGCTTTTTCCTCCACGCTAGGTTTTGTAGCTAAGATTGATTGGTGCCTACAGGAAAAATCGATATTTTTATCTGAGGATGTAGTGGTACTACATTTCGATCTGTGTGCTGTAAACCGTACCATGAATGTTGCACAATCATCAAACGTAAACGTTCCCGCAGAGCGTAAAGAAAGAGACTTACTCATCACAGAAATATGTATATTTTAAGTTACCCAGTCATTCCACAAGAAGTTTCACGGATATCCCTGAACTAACTTTTACGTCTTCAATGTTTTCAGTGTAAAATGTATGTCGTACAAACTTTTCGAAGAGTGAGTATTT